ACAAGGTCAGGGTGTAGGCAAAGATGAAGTAGACTAAGTTCTTCAAAAATTCCCTTCTGTTACATGGGAACTCTTCAGTAGACAGATTGTGAAAATTCCAGTGTTTCAGCTGGAGGTGAGCAGTCCTCAGTTCTTTTCTTTACTCAGTCTTCTCCAAAGCTTCATTTTTGGTCACTCCATCAAATCTGTAATTACACTGACAGACAGGCCAGTGACACACTAGGGATACTGTGAACCCTTGCCTACTTTTTATCCACAGATTTCCTAACAAGTAATTTCTATAGTAGTATACTATTTGACAGACACAGAAGGGACCAAGTTTAGATGCAAAGCCTGGAAAGGAAGTCAGGCCACATGGGACCTTACCAGTGACCCCACTATGCCAACCCATCTCTCTTTTCCTCCACTTCCCAATGAGTTCAGGCAGGCAGATCAAGTTCATTTCTTGTCCTGCAGTGAAATTTGGATAAACATTGCAGCACTGAACCATGAAGCTGGTCTTTATCATCATTATGCACTGACTACATCTGTAAGTCTAAATCCTATTTGAGCTGTAGAAATCAGATCAGAGGTATTTAGCTCAGGGTAAATGTTCAATAGCTTATTATTATGCTAAAGTACACTGTCTAATTGCAGGCAAAACATCAGTGCAAGACATTACCACAGAGGACTTGCACAAGTCATAAAAATGAAAAGTATTACTTTTTAAGTTTTGCTTCTCTTTTTTTTTTTTTTTTTAAGAGTTGGAGCAAAAGCTGCTTTCTCATGCATCTTCTTTCCTTTTCCTTTATTATGTTAAAATTCACTTTGTGGACTTCAGGGAATTTTAGATGGAGACATGCAAAATATCAAATCTGTTATAAACTGAAGGGGAAAAATTATTTGACAAGCAATTAATATTAAGTATGAAAGCATATTTGCAATTGCAGAGAACTAATATGAAGGGAATTAAATTAAACCATCTGAAGTTACAAGAAAGCAAACTAAATCATATCTAAAGATCACAAGAATTCTTGTTTGCCACATGTGTAGAGGGAGAAAAAAACATTTAAAGATCAAAAGACAACACATTTATCTTGGTAGATGCACTTGCATGGTAGTGCATCTTGGCTTAACAAATTGCATGACAAGCTATTAAGCACAAAATAACTCCTGTCACCTACTCTGAGATTTTTATGCAAATAATTCTAGAAATAGATTTTAAATATTCAAACTTATATTGCAAGGATCTGAGTTCTGTTAAGTTGTGACAGCAAAGTGCAAAGTCTGTTTTACTGTTGTAGGACCCAACTCTACTGGAGAATCCTGTTTTATCGAAAATCTCAAAAGCACTTATTACACAATATCCTGGTAGACTCTGCTTATAAGCATGGCAGGATTTATTCCTGTTCAATCAAGACAATTTAGTGATTGAATCTAAATAGAAAAAGCAATAAAAGAAATGCATTTGGGTTTTTCTTCTTGTTTTTTGTTGGTTGGTTGGTTTGTTTGTTTCCAAAGCAGGTACCTTTAATGTTTGAACTACCTATTAAAAAAATACAAACAAACAAACCCCAAATTAAATGTGTAGGCAAAAATTGCATTGGTACTTTCAAATATAAAGGGTGCACCCTTACTATTATAAAGTGTACCTTTTGTGCAACTTCTTACACTTTTAAGATGGCAAGTTTGAGGATAAAATAAAGGAAAAATGTCAGTAATGGAATTACATTATTCCTATTGAAAGAGAAGGCTGGAGCTTACCAACCTCTCCTAATTACCACCTTTCCTAATGTTAACAGTGGCATAGCTGGAGAGGTGCTTTAGCTATATTTACCTGGTGAATGCAGAACTACAGCTTTGTAAAGCAGACTGGTCATCCTCATGGAAAAGGCTCTGGCTCTCTCCTACCAAGGAGTGAAAGAGGACAAGAGCTCCTGTCTTAAAGAGCGTGTAACATCCTCCAGTAGCAAAAAGGCCAGGATTTTCATCCAAAAACACAGAGACCAAATACTTCCTTGTAATCAGTGCATCTCAGAGGCAGCAGATGACAGCTCATTAGATCATGCCTCATCTTTATTGACTATCTGAGCAGTTTTTGACTGAATGCTCACTTTTGGAGACTTAACCAACTTGCTGATACATGACATGGGCACAGAGCCCTGATTTCTCAGCTGTGAGGCAAAACGACCTCCCAGTTCTAACTGACAGTATCTCAAGGAAAAGCAAGTGGGTAAATTTAAGCTGAAGGGATTGGAATATGCCATGTGAGGTGAAATACTCAGGTATTAACAGCCAGCCATTAAAAAGCTCTGTGTGCAAATGACACAAGGATTTACTGACACTAACTTGAATAGATTTTTATCTTGTGATTGTTGAGCATCTTTTTCTGCCTGAAAGGGTTTTTTGTTCCCAAGCCCAAATTATATGTCCCCAATGTATTTCCTAGAAATAACTGAACTAGCTTTGCTGAAATTATCCTCAAAAGTTGATGCAAAATATGACATGGTAGAAATGTATTAATACTTTACGGTTTAGTTAGTAATTTTATTAAACTCGAGGAATTAGAAACTACTAAGCAACTTCAACTATACCTGACATCTCCACAAGAAATAAAAGTTATCCCACATATTCGTCTTTCTGTAGCACTGTACACCTCAGGAGATTCCAAAGGATGTAACAGATCCAGGCCTCTGTGGTCTTAAGAACTTTTGTCATCCTTTCTTGGCTTTAAGGAGATGAATGGTCTTCAAATTAGTGTAGCTGTTTCTATCAGTCAGGAGCTACTTGCTTCCATGCAATTAAAAAATAAAATAATTACTTAAATCAAAAGGTGCAGACCTTTTAATGAATTTCTGTATTTTTGCAAACACAGCATACATGACTTTGTAAGCAGAAATCTTATCTGCTGCCAGAATAAAATCCTGGAACAGTTTATGTTGGAAGCAGTCTCTGAAGGCCACCTGCTCCGACCTCTCCTCCTCGCATCGTGCCACCCCTTAAAGCTGGGCCAGCTTCCAGCAGGCCACTCAAGGCTGTCCTGCAGGTTGGGTTTTCAGCCTCTCCAAACAACCTCCTCCAGTGCTCTGCCAATCTCACCCCAACACTGCACTAGTGGTGACAAGTCAGTCTTCAGGAGACTGACTTCAGCTCTCAAATCAAAGGAGTTCTGGTGCTGCTTTATTAAGTGGGGCTCAGCTCCCTGCACAGTAGCAGGTAATGGTAGAAATGCACTTTCCATCCAACTAAAATTGCAGCAGAATATTACTGATTTACTTTTTTAAAAGTATTGCAGGATTTTATTATGTATGTGATCAAAACTTATTTACACTTCAGTATAAAAACAACATATCATATGTCACCTAGTTTCTGGTACCAATTTCTATCAAGCTGTAACGTTACAGCAAGGAACAATTTATGCTAAGAAATGTAGCAATTTACTGGAAGGAAGCACGGGGTGTAATGGAAATATTTACACTGAAATACAAAAGAGGAAACAGTTAATTATATTAAGTTTTAAATTTTCAATATTAGGGTTCAGAATAACAACCAGCTGCTTGAAGGCAAGCAAGGGAAAATCCATACGAGTTTCAAAGCTCCTGTGTCAGTCAGCTGGCTGGCAGGATTTTGATGCCATACAATGCTGCCAGCTTCCACCCACCTTCTGAATGCCAGCTTTGCAATGTGAAATATTTAAACATGATCCTTGCATCTTCCAGTTCAGATTTCTGACAAGTGAATGTGAATATGTAGTAGATTCCACAGCCAGGGAACCAGGTGACGTTCTCAGAAAAGCAGGTGTTTTCTGGTTGTGTAGCTGCATTTCAAGCAGCTTTTGTACACTGTGCTTTTCTGACCCGAGTTTCTCCATGCATGTTCTTCTTAAGGAATGGCTGCATAGTCATGGCAATCTGACAGAAATCTGACCTGTCATTAACATGGTTAGTCCCATCACTCTTGTTCCCAGCTGCTCATACTTGCTGCCTCCCTTGTGCCAATTCAATGACTCATGTAAATACTATCAGGGACCCCATCCTGCTCAAAAAAATAGTATTTTTCCCAGTTTGCTGAGTTAGGTTTGGCTTCATCCTGTGTTTAATTTGCTCTAACTCCACCTCACCCTACTGCCCACAGCACACTAGGAAACAAATTAATTTCTTCCTTTTTTTTGAGCCAGATCAGGTCACTCGTCCAGTTCACTGCACAGCCACTTCAGCAGTGAAAGCATGAGGAACACATGCTTGGGTTTGAAAAGTAGGTGCCTCTCTTCCAATAGCAGCCAGGACACATGCTGGTTTAAATACACTGTTTTAGCACTTTATCTCACAGAACTTTGTCACGGGATATACGAAAAAACAAGTTTACAAGAGAATAACCTTGCAGGCTTTTCAACATATTACTATAGTAGGAGATGCATTTTTACTTTCTCGTTCTTTGCTCATTCTCTTATCTTTTCCTTCAGTGGATTCATCATCACACTCAGAAGCAGTAACATATATTTACCTCACGACACGTGCAAAACCTCAGTGCATGCCCACAGCTGAAATAAACTCTGAAGAAAAACAGACTAGAACAGATTCAGCTAACAAAATTCTGGTTTATTTTCACAGAGTATTCTTTATGTTAATGACTAGAAAACTAAGATGAAGAAAGAGAGACAACTAAATACAAAGATCTGTACAAATGCAGATTTCAAAACATTACCAAAAAAGTTTTACTTCATGTCTTTGTGGTGAAGGGAAAATCTTCACCTACTAACAAATACTATAGTTTATAAGAAATACAAAAGGTTTTGTATTCTACGTATCTTTAGGTATCTGGAAGAAATGGTATCCTGCTACTATTGACAAGCATAATGACTGTATCAATTTTTTATTTAAAAAAGGTATGAGCAGAATCACCCTCAAACTTGTTTGTAAATGCTATGTGCTATAAGGTACAAGAAATGGTGTACACAGAAAGTAGAATATTCACAGTTCTCATGTAAACAGCCTTGTGGTGCTTTAATATATTGGTCCAGCATGAACTTTGTGGGTGAGAAAAAGCCTCTGGTAGGATTTTTGTAAGATCACTGTCATCTGAATTTGTAAATACAGAAGTGACATCGCTGACTGACATTTAATCTGGAGATTAAGATACTCCAGCTGTACTGGAGGATGGATAAAAATGAATGAGCTTGGTTTACAAGAAGTCAGTGAGCTTGGCAATTTGCTCAAGCTTTTTTTATTTCTTTTTTTTTTTACTAATGTCAGTGATTCAGGACATGGCCTGACAATACAGCTTAACAAAACACCCAAGAGCAGCCTTGCTTCTAGCATACCCAGCCATACACTGACATTTTCCTTCATGCCAACACTGGAACTCATCTGAAGCCATACTAAGCCAGTTCAGGAAACTGAATGCCAGAAAACTAATCTCACAAAACACAGTCATTAATTTTCAGCCAGTTTGGCCTTACGATGTTCATAAGTAAATAAAAACATCCACATACAGGTATTTCAAACCTTATCAAAAGGTAACTGCAAAGTAATACTTCATATCCCTGTTGTGATTAACAGGCTGATGGATGAAAGGGGAAAAATCTTATAATTACTACAGTTGTTTATAAGGAACATTATTTTTTATATCTCCGTAATTATCTAAAAATTAAAACAAAAATAAATGTGAAACTGAAGGTGAACAGACTGGCTAGCAGGAATTTTTATTTCTTTTTTATCATTCAGGAACTGCTATTCTGCGTCTCAACCTCTGCTTAGCTAAGGTCCCAACTTATCTTCTAATGACCTTTTCTCAGCGACACTTCAGGGTAAAAACTCTTCATCCGGCAGGAACCGCGGCCTGACCCGGGGGGGGCACTTGTTAAACTCCGAAAAACTCTGCAGCCGGGAGTTTCCACCAACGCTCCTTCAGTTCTCAGGGACCTCACTAGTCCCTTGCATTGAGGCAAAGAAAAAAAAACAACAAACCAAAAACAAACCTACCCCCTAAAAAAAAAAAAGACCCCAAAACCACGGACACGCGGGCGGAAGCAGAAAACAAAAAGCCCCTCCCCAAAAAGCCCCTCCCAGCACCTCCCGCCCCCAGCGCCGCCCCCTCCGCCC